ATTCTGAATCGCTTGAAAATCATAGCTGGAAATTTTCTTCAAATGTTTTTGTTTTTTCTTTCTAACACTTTGAATGTCATATGAAAAGAGATCGAAGATTCTGTATAGAATATTGTAGCATATTTCGAATTTCATCCGATCTGTTTAGAAAAACTCTATATTTTTTTTTCGATTATCACACTTGTATGATAGAGAAGATATTAATCTCGTTAGCTTTGCTTAAACGCAAAAAATCTATTGAAAAACACAGATTCGATAGTTTTTTTAGCAAACAAAGTTTTCTATTTACTTGTTTGATAATTAAAATAATCTTTAAATGTTTTAAAGACTAAAAATAAAACTCGATTATCTATCATAAGATATTCGTTGTTTTTTTCCTATCATAGAAAAATTTACCATCTTTCAAAAGAATCTTTAATTGGATTTAATAGTAAGAGGAATTTTTCGTGAACATTTCGCTTTTAGGAGAAACTTATCATTTTAGCGGCAGATTCTGCAACTCTGCTTTCTTTTGACAATGTTTTTATTTTTTAATAAAAAACCTATCACGAAAGTCGCTACAGTGTAGGTTTTTGAAACATTAAGATCATTTTATAATGTAAAAAAATTCCTAAATATTAGTCGGAGATCTAAATTAGTCTTACCTCAGTCAATAGAACTCGACGAACTGGTCACTATAATGATAAAATTTTTTCTCCATAGTATTTTCTTATAGTTTTCAAGTTGACATTACTTTATGAAATATTACATATAGCTATCAAACACATAGATTGATATGCATATGCAACATGCTTTAGTTTGTCAATAAACGTACTATACTACTTATCTTATAGTTGAACGCATAGATATGAGCATGACTAAATTTGAACAATGAAGAATAGTTACAGTCACCGTCAAGAAAATGTAATTATGAATGAATTGACGCCTTTTTATTAAGTAATTTCTCTAGAGAATTGCATCAAAAAATGATTTTGTTATTCAACATTCTTAATGATATAAACTGAACTAAGCATATACATATTTGTTGTTGCAGCTTGCAAGGTATCAATAACGTCCAATCCTATCTATCATCGAAACATAATACTTTCCTCAATTTTTAATTTAATAACATTTTTTCATTCGTTCTCTTTCTTGAATATAACATATTTTCCGACGTCTGTATCAATGAACATAATGTAAGTAAGAAATTTGTCAGAAAAAGAGATAATAATCATCGATGATTTCATTGGACGATGCATTTATATGTAACTTTTCTTTGCAACAAGTTCATTCATTCTATTCTTCATTGAGGTCAATAATCATAAACATAAACAAAGCACATTTACTTATAATGAAATATGCGTATAAGAACAACATTGTCATAGTCAATATTTAATATGAATCGATCTACTGTTCATCTTCTTGATTTACCTAATGAGATTTTATTTAATATTTTAAAGAAACTTGATAATGTTGATGTTCTTTATTCATTGTTTGGTATTAATAATGATCGACTTGATAGTATAGCACGAGAAGAAACTTTTTCAAATATTCTCAATTTCGTATCAACTGTTCATAACATTATAATAAATGATTCAATAGTTGATCGATTTTGTAATAAAATATTACCTCAAATTTGTTACAATGTCAAATGTCTTATTGTTGAACCAATGTTCATGGAACGTATTCTTCTTGCTACTCATTATTCAAATTTAACTGAATTGAAACTTTTTAATTTTCAACGCGTTAGTTCATTACAGTATTTTACAGGTAAGCAAGTGCTTTACATTTCATCAAGTGAAAGATTATAGTACAACGATATCGAAAAGAACTGCTTAAACAATATTTCATTGTTGTATTTTAATTTAGATGATTCACCTTTTCGACATATCTTCAAACAACAGATTACAAAACTTGATCTTATCAATGAAGATTGGGAGTGTGCTATAGAATCATTGATAGATTATACGAAAAAAGTATATGCACATATTTTGACCTGCTTCGAAAATCTCGAGCATTTAAATGTTATTCAGACATCGATTCGTGCATATCCAGGCTTAGCCGTTCGATATTTACCATCAAGTGTTTTTTCTTCTTCAACTCTTACTTATTTATGTATTAATGTGGGAACTTTAACTGATTGTCTTTGTTTACTTGATGGTCGTCTCAAACAACTGACTACATTTATTGTTCGAGTTTATTGTATGGATATAGATTCATCAATTAATCACACCATGGTAGGTATATTTTATCTTTTTAAACTTTTCGAACAAACAAAATACAAAATATGAATTGGAGACAGTTAGGAAATACGTAAAGTAGGAAATTGTATGAGAAATCAATAGAAATGTATGAGATCAGCTTTAATGTAAAGGTCAAAACCGTGGTTAAACGAAACTGGTTCCTGTAAGTCTTTAGAAGCGAATGGTACTTTCCAATTTCGAGAACTATGAAGAGACTGGAAAGAAAAATATGTAGAAGTTGTTTCATACTCCTTAAACTTGTTTGAAAATCAGTCATTCACAAGAATCGAAATTTTTAATTCCTGATTTACGTGATGAGAGAGATGAACAACTGAATCTTACTCTAATAATTCAAACAAAGTAATAATTAGAGACAGATGTGAAATTTATCAATTCTCAATTGTTACTTCTTTAAATGTATATTTTATGATAAAATCAATCATATCTCGTTTGAAATCAAATAGACATATTGAATGGTCAGACAAGCACAATGAAAACAAGATTCCTTTTCTGTATTCATTAATTAATATAATATTTGAATTATTACAGATATCGAATAGAATTAACTGTCTTTCTAGTTAAAACAAATATTCATTTTCATTATATAGAATGATCTACCTCATTTGAAGTGTTTTTCACTAATACACTATGGTTTAATTAAAGAATATGATAATAATATTGTACGTCTTCTTCGTCGTATGTTGTACTTGGAGAAATTAACTTTATATTTGTGTATCGCCTGTCAAGGTGCATTCATTGATCCGATTTATCTTCTACATGAATTTACTATGTATATGTCACGACTTTATTCATTCAATTTTTATCTTAGTACGGAGAATAATACCAATGATTTAATTCATTATTTGTCCAATAATGATGTTAAACGAAATCATACAAATATAGGACATCAAGAAGTATTGGATATGGTTTGTTTTTCTGTAAACACAGCTACATATCATATATTTACACTTCCTTTCGAGTTTGCCAAGCTCATGTCTGTTGGAAATATATTTCCAAATATTATATTCAATTACGTCATCGAATTATGGGTACATGATGTGGTTCCATTTGAATATGAATTCTTCGTACGAATATCTAAAGCATTTCCATTGCTGAAACACTTTTATGTTTCTATTTTTGCGTCACTATCATTTAATACTGAAGTATCATCTCCAAACATTGAATCATGTGAAGTCGTTAAATATCCTCATCTTACGTTACTTGACATTAGAAGGACGAATATTAATTACGTCGAACAATTTTTAAATGAAACCATAACGCATCTACCTTGTCTATCTGAGTTACGTGTTGTATATGAAGAATTAAGAATTATCACAAACGATTTTACACGAAAAGCAACGCAACGCAATTGTGTTAATGTGAGACGATTAATTACTGGAAGGGATATTGTTGGTACGAAAGACTATTATATTTATTTTCCTTTGCTGTAGATTGATTTTTATTGTAACTATGTGAAACACATTTCGAAAATAAAACAATTAAAACGTTTCATTTGCAGCAAACGAGAAATAGAATAATGAATAATGGTTTTCAAGATTTATTAATTTCAAGAATAATGTATGACAACGACAAAAAAAAAGCACAAGAGAAAAGTTTGTTTTTGTTAATCAATAAATTTTTTTATGTTCATTATTGTGTTTTGTTGTCTTTTTCTTGTTGAGCTTGTTGACGGAGTATATCTAGAAAAGAAAAATTAGTATTTGGATGTATTTTATTCAAGATATCTTGAATCAGATTCGACTTATAATTCCTCTAAGATGTATATTTGTGAAAAGCCCTACAATGTGTCCTATATTTCAATCGTTTTTCCTATTTCTCGATTTTAGCAAAAAAAAAAAGAAATGTTTTAAATCTACGAATTTTATTGAATGTGGTGCTTCAGTCTTGCTAGAGTGCATGTACTTTAATACCTAGGCAAATTTTTCAACAATCATGCGTATTATAATGAGGCCTACTTTAAGAAGAGCACATTTCTTTTTCGTCAAATAAATGGGTTGCATGAAAAGCTTTCCATATCATAAGTAACGGGTACCCTAGATAAATTGCATTAAATCTCAGTGGTCTTTTCTTCTTGTTTACGTAATAAGTAGTCGTTCGAGATCATTGGCTTCATGCACTATCAAATGACATACAACAACGAGAAAAAATATTTGAAACTCATAGTACCAGCGCCTTCGTTATGTTCTTTATTTACTTGTATAGACATGGCCAGTCAGTGTGATATCCCAACTCTTTTTGTGTACATGTAACTTTTGTAATATATCAAAGACAAACACGATTTTTTTACCAGTTATACAGCTCATATAATGCTGATGATCTGGCAAAAACAAGCGATCTATACATTGTTTGAAACCCAAATCACCAAGTGTCCTTAGAAAGCATTTTGGTATTGATGAATAGATTTTTTTGAAGATATTTGATTCTTTTGGTGTGAAACAAGGTATAGACTCTTTATCCTTGGGGCAGGTCATCAGCATTATATGAGTATTATAACTGATGAAAAAGTCATCTTTTTTGACATTAAAGAAGCTACATGTACCGAAAAAGAGTTCGGGTATTTCACTGTCCGGCGGTGCTCATATGCATGCAAACATATTGTAATAAAACTTTGTAAAAATCCTTGACTTTTGTTTTGCGTCAGAAAGAAATAAATTTAACACTCTTATTATCATCATGCTCTTTATACTAACTCTATTAAGAGAAAACCTTAGGGGACGCAGTTTACAGACTCGATTTTTTTAGCGGAAACCAGAGATGAAACCGGTCTAGATTCTTAAAGACCAGACCGGACTGACCGGTCAACAGATTCGACCGGTCTACCAGCAGACCGACCAATCTAAAAATTTTACCAACACAAATTCTATCTTTAGATAATGATAATTGAGTTAGTCATCTTCTACCGAAATTTTTGGATGCATTCTGTATAAGATAGCATTAAGATCCAGAAGTTTTGAACGATTTTATGCAATAAAAACAGAAAAAAAAACAGATCGATCGGTCACTAGCCTACCGGTATTCAACCGATCTACCGGTAGATCGGCCTATCTAAAATCCGGACCGGCCTGTAACCAGTACCATCTCTGGCAGAAACAATACATTTAACAAAGTTCTATATTTTAGAACAACTCAATCCTATACGAATTTCTTTTTTCTTTTGAAAATCTGTAACCTGACCCCAGTATATTTCATACTTATTTCAGCCGTTGCATTTTGATTAGCCTGCTCGTAATTTGCTTTTTGTTCTGTTAAATTATTGATGCGTGTTTGAATCTTTTGTTTTTCAGCATCAGTAAGACCATCGACACTTAATTTATTTTCTTCTCGAGATATTTGTCCTTCAATCAACGCTATCTGTGCATTGTTGCAGGCAATCTAAACAAAAGAAAGCAGTTTTTGATATAATATTTTTCTAATGGATTACATCATGTTCAATTGTTCGAATATTCTCCATATTTTCTAAAAAGAAAACATTTATAAATGAGATCGGTTATGCCTAAAGATTGATATTAAAATACGTAACACTAAATCGTTATGAAATATATTTCAGATTTTATTTAAAAATCATTTACAAAAAATTCTCAAGCTTTTAAAGAGTATCTCTCGGCATCATCAGAAGGACGGGAGATAAAGTGAAAAACTTACATGTATTAAATAACCACAAAAAAAGAGTGAATGTGTGGAAAGACAAAAAAAAAGAATATATATTGTCGAAAATGTCTATTATTTTTTTTGCAAAAATATCTATTCTGCATATTTTCGAAAGCATGTACTCTTTTTTTTTGTCTTCCCATACATTCCTTCATACTTTGTCTGACTCTTTTGGTATGTGTAATTTTTTCACTTTATCTCTCATCCTTCTGATGATGCCGAGAGATACTCATTGAAAGCTTAAGAATGTTTGTAAATGATTTTTAAATAAAATCTGAAATGTATTTCGTAGCAGTGTGGTATTACATATTTAAATATTTATTTTTAACGTCTTCATCAAATGACTCCACATTATGGCATTGTATATACGTGTATACATGTACACGGTACCATAAAAGTTACTTTATCGAAAAAATTCAATATCTCCACTATGGCTCGAGGATCAAGCTGATCTTTTTGTCAATGATAGAGGTGTCTTCAAGCATTATACTCATAAACATATTCGTAGAGAGATCTAATTGTCACATATATCACTATTCATCTTGACAAAAGAAATTTTTTTCACAACGAGGAGAAAATAAATACACACAGTAACACGAAAGTCACTTTGGCAAAAAAATGAACATCTCTAGTACGGCTCAAACAAACGAGCTGGTTGGTTTTTTTTATCGATGATACAGGTAATAAAGAAAAGCTGAAGAAATTTTTAAAAATTCAATCAAACTATGCCATTGTGTCTGATAAATATAAATGAGAACAATATAATGAGTATGGTTATAAAAGTCTTAACCCTTTACTCCCCATAGCGGTTCCAGAAGAGCTACTGATGAAACAGCCATTGGAATAGAGTATTGGTGCCTCCAATATGCTAAAAGTACGGTCAGATCGATCAAACGTACACTTGAGTTTTAGGGTAGTTTGTTGAGGGGGAGTAGGGAGATCGATTTGGAAAAAATTTCGTGAACTTTCCGTAATACCGACGGAGTTCGGCCAAAAACCGTCGTAGAGAGCTCGGGGACGTCTTACTTTGTAGAGAATTGTTCACTTTATAATTTTACGTAGTTTAAACGAAACTTTATTTTCGGGTTGTAGACGGCTAAAAGCTAAGGGTTGATTTTCTGGAAGTCCCCCAGTGACCATTCGATGCTTTGCCACATCTTGCCTACCTAATTCTTTTCAAATTTTTGAAACTTATATAATCTACTAGTGGACACTTTCTTTGATGTAAATCACACAGCACGTCGCCGAGATATTTATTGCCTAGAGGTAGAAAAAGAATTTTACCAAAAAATTCCATTTTTTACTTTTTTTGAAAATCATCGATTTTATAAGTTGTATATCTCGGAACTAGCGCAGTGAAAAAATTCCTTTTTTCTACTAGTCGATAGCCCATGGAGTTTACTACAAAAAGTGCTCTTAAAGTTTTTGAATTCTATGCTTCCTTTATTTTCTGCAATCGTTCTACAAATGGCAATTCCAGTTGCCAATGGGGGGTAAAGGGTTAAATATGATTAGCATACACTTTTTTTCTTGTCAATGTCATTCTCATAAGTTACACAATTATTTTTTCAATTGATTATTTTATAGATTTTTTTCTTTTATAATGATCACAACAAATAGAAAAGATTTTAATGAAGAAAATTTTTGAATTTTTTTGAATGAAATATAGAATACAAAATATCAAAGCGTAGCTGCTATTAAATGAGTATACAAGATATTATTGAGACTAACTGTTTTTAGCTCTAGTTAGATAAAAGCTTTTGTTCTGTTCCTGAAGATAATCAAATTAAGCTGTAGGTTTTGTTGCTTCCTATCGGTGTTGTGCAACTTCTTATTCAGCATATGCCGATAAAAAAACAGTTCTATGAAATGGAAAATGTTGTTAGTAACTAAATGCAACGAAAATATACTAACCATCAAAGCAATATGAAAATCAAATCATCAATGCTCCATTGTTCAGCTATTTTTTCAGTTTCCATCAAGTCGAAGAATCGATTTATTGCATAGCAAGTAATAGAGCTCTCTGTTTGCATGCTGCATCAGTAGATAATCTCATTTTTATATGTTATCCACTTAATATATATATTGTTGTCGATGGTTATTGTTATTTTGTAACAAGTAGTCATGCTTTATATCCTTGTAAATTACGTTATTTTGTTCTACAAATAGCACATCTTGGTTCACTTTGCTATACTTGTCTTGCTACACTTGATCAATATCTTCTCTCATCAAGAAATGTTCGTATTCATCAAATGAATTTCGATGCTTGTCAAACAAAACAATGTATCGTTATTGTGTTTATACTAATAGCACTTCATAGTATTGCTATGGCTGTCTATTTTGGTGATATCAATCATCATTGTGCATTCGTCTCAGACGTCTATGCACTTTATTATCTATTTGCAGTGATTATCTTATTGTATAGTGTCATACCTACTCTTTTCCTACTTATATTTGGCTCACTTACATTGATTCAATTGCAAGCAGTTACTAGTCGAAGTGCTCGACAAGATCAACAATTATCTCGTATGCATTTAATTCAAAGCGTTAGTGTTGTTCAGGGAACTGCAAAGTGGTCCCGATCCCGGGACCGGGACTAAAAATTTTTCACATCGGTCCTGGTCAGTTGTTATGCAATATATGTTCACGTTTATTATTTTGACATGATTTAAGATC